GGAACATTTTTAATTGATACAGGACCAGTCAAAGGCTTGGACACACTTTCTCATTAGATTTAATGGGGAAACATGCCCATACTTACTGCTACTGTACATGTTACAGATTTAATTAGCTTTTCATGCATTACAGCCTTAGAGAGATTTCCTACCAACCCCCAAAGATTTACTAATCCAACATTTGCATCCTGTCTCTTTGAGATCTCTTCAAGTCAGTAAAAGTCAGTTTCATGTTGACTCTTGTCTCATCTCACTGTATTTCATCTCTTTATCTGATGTCCTCTTTGGTGTCTTTGCTGAATTAGCTATGCTGTGATGTCACACACCAGCACAGGTCACAAGTGATGCACCACAACAAAAGAAAAAGTAGTGAAGTGCTTTCTGTTAGCCTTAGGACATTGCAATGTATATAAATGTCACAGCGCCATCAAAATGAGTCATAAACATAGTTTTAAGCTGAAAGTTATGTAGTGTTGCTTGAATTGTCTGATACTGGTCCTAAATTGTCATTAAATTCCTTTTTTTGATCAGGTGGAGATCCATCCTGTGACAGGAGTCGTGATCGAGAAACTGGCGTGGGCCTATGCTATTAATGCAAATTCTGCTACAGTCTTTGTGAGGCATCTGCTCACAGCAGTATTCCCAACAGAGACACTGCTGGTGAGCAATCTTCGAGGGGGAAAACGAGGCAGAGGGGATGCACGTTTACCTCTGGACAAAAATAAATTGGAGGCAATCTACAGTAAGTTTTTAGCTTGATGTATAGATGTATTTTGAGCCATATTTTTTTGTATTTACAGATTACAGACAAGTTTTTTGTGGGTTTGTTTTTAATATTTCTTATGAATCACAATTCAACATATATTTCATGATTTTTACAGATTTTTTTTAAATTACTTTTATCAGTTTCATTTTATTTTGCTCACAGCTTTTTTTTTTTTCTTCCTTTCTTCAATTGGAGGGTATGAATAATTTTGGGGACAACTGTATCTACTTATTTCTACATTGTATTATTATTAGGGCTGTCAACAAATTAATCCTAAATTAATCATTTTGTCAAACAAGAGATTGTTCTATTAATTAGTACTTCTATATGCAAAAAAACATTAATTTTTGTTTCACAATTTGAAGATTATAATACCAAGCCATAAATCTGGGAGTAGTCCAGGACTCAGAGCTGAATTTCAGCTGCACGTTAATACAGTTGTGAAGTCAGCCTATGTGGACGGTAGCAGCAGCATTCTGGACCAAACTGCCTCCACCTGGAGGAGTTTAGGGAGACATGGAAGGACAGGGTTTCAGTAGTGTAGTCTACTAAAGAGAAATGCAGAATTCCTACTGAGACACCTTTAATCCTATATGTGTTCTAAAAGTGATAAAAGCAATGTGATTAATCAGGATT